CTGCAGGAGATTAGGAAGGCGCCGCCTCCATATTTGTGACAACAGATTGGTTCTCTGGGTCATAATGAAGTTTTCAGGGTTTAGATATATTTTTATTGCAGTTCAGTTTTGATTGTTATTTTTATTTTCACAGATTGCTCGAATTTAAATCTGTAACAATAATCATAGGGCTTCTACTGCTTTTTACTTGAAATATTATTTGACCCGTTTGCTTATAAACTGCCTAAATCTGCTAATCTTTGGAAAAATCTATTCTAAAGATAGAGTCTTTATTTAAACTGGTATTTCTATAATACATTTATGAATTTTAAGCTTTTAAATGCAGGTCCTACTTTTTTGGTGTATTCCTTAATTTTTTTTATTTTTTTTTGATTATGTGCAATTTTACTCCAAATCCAGAAATCATTTCCCCAAAGGTCTAGAAATTTCGTATCAACACCAGGAGGCTTATTAAACCACTGGTTGATGAGGGTGAGTATGCAGAACAAAATGGCTCAAACCAGATTATCGTTTTGCAGATTATCCATGCAGCACGAAGGTTCCTGAAGCAGCCAGACTCTTTCCTGGCTCCTTGTTATGCAATTCTCAGCCATCTGTTGACTGTGCTGGTAAAATGTAACAGTCCCCAAATTGAATTTGTGGATTGTTGCATTTCATTGCAATTTTAAAGCCAGTAATTCTTTATAATATTGTTCTTCCATTCTTCCACTTGCCAGTTTTTGCACTAATATATATTAAGGAATTCAGTTGGAAAAAGAAGTCAAATTTTGGGGATAGATAAGACATTGACACCTATTTTTCATAAAGAAAAACATAATTTATTGCTGCTGCTTTCAAACGTTATTAAGGTTGTGCCCATATAGGATTCTGGAGCCAATCTACTATAGTAGTTTTTTCACCCTGACCTAGAAATTAATAAAACTACCACTCATACAAAACATTTCTACCATAAAATTAATTAGCTGAATAAATTATTGGTAAACATTAGAACTTTACTTCATATTTTTGTAAACATGCTGTTTTATAGTATGAATCCTTTAAATGATGAGAAATCTTATAGTCGACATCTTGTGCTGTTAAGAGCAGTCAACCTGGTCACTGAGGGAAATAACGGACTCAAACGTTGTTTATTTTATCAGGATGATATCAGCGGATTTGATTTCTGACTTCCAGACAAATGCATAATTTGCATGTATTTGTGAAAAGGATGCTGTTTTTATATACATGTGATCGAATGCAACTTTAAATGAACCGTTTAGTTTCCATTGCCAAGGGTAAGAAAGGCTGATGGTAAAAAACTTTGTGTGTAAAAAACCCAAACTAACACAAAAGTATCAGCCAAATAATCAAAATTTGTATTGAGACACAAAGAAAGCAGACTGGACTTTTGATTTTACATTCATCCATTTTTGTTATTGCTTTTTCTTTAGCTTTTATTGCCTTGCAGTAAATTTAGTTTTGGCCTTGAAGCCCTCTGTGCAGTAAATCTAAGACCTAAGCTATTCCACCTACAAGACGAGCAAAGAGGAAACGGTGTCTAAGGTGAATAAACACAGACACAATCCACCAGGGCAGGAAGAAAGTGCCTCATACTTGAAGTGAGGAACAAAATCTGAAGCTTATATGTCAAAACACATAATACATAGAGGGACAGTTAGCTAGCTGGAGATCATGTGAAGCTCTAAATCAACAGGTAAAGAAGTAATGTTTTCATTACTCTGCAAGGGATGTTTCTGTCATATTATTTAGAATTAGTTTAGACATTTTTATGAGCTTGCTGAGGATATATTACTAATTTTTCCTATGTTATCCACGTATACAAAACAAAAGTATGTCTGTTCCATTGAGTTGGAAATAGAAAAAAACATTTATTTGGTGTTCTACTTTGTATCTGTATGTGATCAAACTTTAGATGCAAAAAGCAATTATAGGGAGATTTAAAAAAAAACATAATTCCATCTATGCATATATCTTTTTGTAAAGAATAGGGCCACTGAAAAAATAAAAAAGTTAGATTGTCAGAATTCTGAGTAGAGTAAACTGAAATAAAATTTGAACTGAAATAAAATTTAGAAATCTGTTTACTTTAATATTTTTTTCAGTGGCCCTAACACTCTTCCGTATTTTTGAGTTTTTAAAACAGTAAAGGATTTTAATTAATTAATAATTGGGCCTGACAATATTTACACTGTTTTTCAGCAGGTTTTTGCTCTGCGGGACATGGAGCACAAACAAATATCATTACATTGATTTACACTAAACAGCAATAATACATAAATGGTAGGAAAATAAGCATCATTAAGAGGTGTCAACATCTCAGTGGTTGGAATAGTAGCCATCCAACAGCAAGCGGGCATAGGACTTCTTGGAATGTGTTTGTGTGCATAGTCCTTATATGCTATGGAATATCAGTCCATGCTGTAGTGGGCATGAAACAGCAGTTTTTGAATGATGATGGCACGAGTACCTTCAAGAGTTCCTTCTACATACCTTCCACATACATTGATCAATCATCTCCTAAACTTGGATTTGACACCAGAGCAAGAAGTACTGCAGAGGTTTTGGTATGATCAATATAAATTCTATGGTATTTGTGAACAAAACAACTCTGCTCAGAGTCTAACTCTAACCCTCATTTGCACATAAGCTTATGTCTAATATGCCCACAATGGGGCCTGGGGTTTCCTAATCGAGATATCCTTCCCATGTCTGTTCCTTGAAATCCTGTCATTCTCTCCAGACCAGATCCTGTTAAACAGGTCTAAAAACAATATTAAACTCTGATAGTCTAGGCCACACTGGGATTAAACTCAACTTTCACTGAGAGTGCAGACACAGTCGATGGTATCTAAATAAGTTAGCAAAGTTAGTAACATACATTAATATAAGACCATTGAGTCCTGAGTCAGGCTTATGTTAGCTGCTACTGGTCACAATTTAATAATGTCAAGTTTTTTTTCTCCTTTTTAATTAAACTTTGCTGTTGCTTCTGTTGAATTCTTGGACAATCTAAGTTATAGAGTTCAGCTCTTCATATATTTGTTCTTAAGGATTAAATTTTTAACTCAGCTGAGATTAAAAGAGAGCACCCACCCCACCCCCACAACAAATCAACTTTTTACATAAGGAAAAAAAAACAACACACCAGTAAAACTTAAAAGTATATGGAAGCAATGTTACGTATTTGAATGGAAGTGTGATAATGCAGATTTAGATCTGCTAATTAACACCCGATGCCATGACGCAAGGTGATGCTGAAGCTTTGGCACCAGTCATAATCTGTCCCGACTTTATCTTACACCGTCAGAGTCATCGGGTTCAGACTTCTGTGTATTATCAGTAAAATCCGTCCCATAAACCACATCAGTGCTGCAGGGTGGAGCTGCAGCACTGAGGCCTGTATATAAAACACTGTACAACTGGATTGTATCATCAGGCTGAGTCAGAGCTGAAAATAAGAGTCACTGTCACCTCCATGAACTTGACCTGTTGGACTTCAGCCCTTTTGCTGCATTTTAGTAACTGACAGACCTCAATAATGAGACTTGACTCAGTCAGACCTCCAAATCCTATTAACATCAAGAGGACATCAAAGCCTTGGGAAATAGAAATCTAATTGTTTTCAACTCTCCTTTTGTTTTTTCCTTTAGAAATCTGTTAAAAAAAGAAAAAAAAAGAAAAGTCTGCAGCTGTGTGAATTATCCACTTAAACCTTTTAAATGTTTTAATAAATCAGGAAATATCACTTCATGTACGACTCCCTCTAGTGGTGATTGACAAACCTTTCTCCTGTATCGATTTCTTTTTAGGTACCAGAGAAACTGTTTAAAAACACACGGTTAACCAAAAATGAAGGCAGGACATCATTTTCTGATGAATGTTGGATACTACAGTCAAACCTTTGGTCGATCTCTTATTTTTTTTTTCTAATTTGTATTAAAGGAAACTTAAAATACATTTGAAATCTTTTGAATTTTTGCTGTTTTCTCCAGAACGATTAGAATCAAACTGCTTCCGACTTGATTAGGTTTCAGCTCTGGGGTCATTAGTTTGATTAAGCTAATATCTATGGTGTGTTTTCCATCCATGTTTGATGTTCCAGGAGGGTGTAAGTTATTGGTATCATTTTGATAAAGGATGAAGACTGATTTTCACATTAAATCCTCACTAAATGAGAAATCCTGGAGGACGATCTGCCTAATTATTATTTGAAAAGATAGAAGAAACTTGAACAGCAGCCCGACGCCACAGCAGTGTCCACCAATACTTTATAAATGGATGTGGACTGTTGCCGTTTTATCCTTCAGCAGAATTCCTCTATAGGTCAGAAGCAAAAATAATTTTCTCGCTAATTATCCAAATTTGCTACTTTTTTTTTTGTTTGAATAATATTGATTTTTGTTTTAATTGTCTTACCATTAGTTTTGTTTTGCTATTCAAACTATTTTCCTCTGTACTTAAAAATCACCAACACTGATCAAATTAAATCCTGGAAATCAAAGTAATAAATAGAATAAACTTTATTTTAAAATGATCTTTGAGAAACCTTATACGGTACATAAATTACAATAAAACAAAACATCACGCATGCAATAAATCAACTTGTGGTTTAAAGCAGCAGGACCCAAAACTGACTGGAGTGTAAAGATCAGATATCTTTCCGCAGTGATAATTTTACACAATTTAATAGATGCTACATTTAATTTCACGTAAAAGTAACAAGTCAAAGTTTGGTTCCGGATTTTTCATCAGGAACCAAAATTCAAATCTACATTGTTTCAAATCAGCGACCTCTGGATTTTATTTTTCAGGAAGCAGATTTTATTTTTCTACTCTCATTTTCTTGTCAAACTCTGTGGCTGCTGAAAAGACACCAGAAATAAATATTCAGCTTACATGAAGTCTTTAAAGTGTGTCCCAAAAAACTAATCTGACCACATGAGGTAGGTGGGAGCCAATAACTTATTAGTTCACAGTAAAGTTTTTTCTCTATACATACAGAAGTTATCATACAGAGTAGAAAGTCCTTCATCAGTAAATCATTATGTCTTTTTTAGCAGTCTGATTTCCATTTTAAGATATGTTTTAAGGTTCTCATCAAGAACGTTCTCCTCTATGGCAGCGAGTGCTCTGTCTCCTCCGTCATGATAATACGCCAGGAGCTGCTCGGCATGTTCGATCCAAACGCAGTTATGGCAGCCGCTCATGCAACAATGGGTGGGAGCAAGTGGGGGTCCCTGTTTGGGGGACCAGGAAGAGGAGGAACTGCGGTTTTGCTCTAAGATAGGGCTCTCAGCCTCAGGAGGGTTGGACTGAGATCCGGTTGACAGAGAGCGAATGATCCCACTGTGAAGACGTCTCCATGAATGTTGAGGACAGAGACTGAAGTGATGAGCTCTCATGTGAAGCAAAGAGAGGAGGAAGAGCTGGAAAACACAACAATGTTTGAGTCACTGGTCAGTGTTTTTAAACCAAGAAAAAAGAAAGATCACCAAGAAATGCATTTATTTATCAGCTCTTTTTATAATGCTCTGTTTCTTGACTTGAAGAAAAAAAATGGAAACATTTAAACCAATTTTACATGTTATAATGAAAAGGAATTAACTAACATTCAAAATGATGTCTAATTATTTAAACTGAACTAAAAATCAGTTTTAAAAGTTTGGTAAAACTGAAGTTTTATTTAAACTGAAGTGAGTGGACTAACACCCAACCTAACGTCAAAGTTTATATAGAGAAGTTAAGTTTAAAAATGCACAATAATCTTTGATATAAAAAAAACAACAAAACAATAACAAAAAAGACTTTTTAAAAACAGTTTGTGCTTGGACAGATTATATCTAATATAGGTCTAAATGTTAATGAACAAATACTGACAACTCATTTTCTATGTATTTTGGCCGATCATCTAAAACCTCTTTTAAGCAATTATTCCATAAATTACAACATTAACTATTAGATTATTAATAAGACCACACACAAATATATATATATTTGCAAATCAATTCATCTGTAGATAATTTTTTCAAATAATCTATTAATGATCGAATTGCCAAAGGTTCCTTTAAGAAGACTTTTTGCTAAATTAAACCAGATGAGATTAAAACTTTGCTCTTGATAGAGCATATTGGCAGACGAAAATTGTTTTTATTTTAAATGCAAAATGTTTAATTTTTTTCTACAATTTACTGCTATAAGTGGATAACTAAAGGCATGGTTTAGTTCATATTCCAGTTAACGATTAATTGATTATTAAATTAGTTGACCCATTTTACTTAATCACAATTAATCTGATTGTTTCAGCATATATATATATATATATATATATATATATATATATATATATATATATATATATATATATATATATATATATATATATATATCTTCTTTGTAATAAAGACGTAAAGGTCACATCCAACTGATGAAACGCGGTAAATAATAGGAGATATTTATTTGAAACATCAGTGACACAACATAAACGTAGCGGCTGTTAGCTTAGCATCCAACCTTGTGTAAAGAGACCGACGACCTCCCGGTTTTTAAACGGAAGCAGAACATCTTTCCGGTTGGAGCGGGTCACTCCATTACGTTTCCTTTTATCCTCATGTCCTTTAAACTGCCGCCTTTATTAATGATTCATGCTGTTCGGGTGAAATTACCAAAAGATTAAAGACCTTTAAGACTCATTGGTGTCGATTCTGCTTTGAACTTTCACCTCTGTTAGGTTCTTGTAAACAAAAACTATGATTGGTCAGTGTCAAATAATGTAGCCAATCAAATAGGAGCTCTACACACTTTGAACCAATGGGAAATCAAATAAATCGGAAGAGGCTGGACATTAAGGACGGCACTTCCGATATTCTGCCACTAGATGGTATCGTTTCTACGCCTTAATTCATGTAAATGTCAACTGCTTATCTCAATGATAGTCAAATTCTTAGTTTTGGTCAGGAATCAGAACAGTGGCTTTATATTCATTTACTTTCATATATTGCAGCTGAGTTTCTAATGTTTATCAGAAAAGTGTGATCATATGCTGAAGCAAATTTGTTTTGGTTTTTTTCGGTTTCATTAAAAGATATTTGAAAAACAAACCTTATCATGTGTGTGCAGTTCTCCTGAAATGCTTATTTCCATGTTAAACATCTGATTATAGTCTTTAATAAAACAAATGCAACAACACAAAAGAAGATTTGCCATTTAAAGTGCAAAAAATCTCTTCTGTTGTTTCTTCTGACTTGATTCTAAGTGATGGCAAAAACAGAACTTTATAAAGACAGAAAAAAAAGATTCTGTAGTGGGAATTCTTTATGGATTTCACATGGAAGCAGAGAGAAAATCTACTGAAATTAGTAACATTCTAAAACCATAAAATTAAGATATATTTCAATTGCCTAAAGAGTCAAAGTTGTTCTGTTTTGCTTTCTTGCTAATTAAATTTTTTTTTTTTAGGTGTCAACATATACTTTTTAAAATTTAATGTTTAATAAATAAGATGATACTGTAACAGCATCAATTGTTTGTAACAACTAAAATCTACACATTTTGGAGATGAGTTGCTTTTTTATTTACTCTTGCTCTTTCACTATGTGAAACAGTTGAAAACAGACCCTTTTCTCACTGACTGATAGTATGTCTAAGGTTAGGTGAGACATAGCATGAAACCAGTTATAGCCAGTTATAGATACTGGCTATAACTGGCCATTCTATATTTAAAAGCCAACCACAGTTTGGAAATGTACTCCAGGACACAGATCTGAGTTATTAGAGACAGGTCCTGATGTGGTGTTGTAAAGAATAAAGTGCTTGATCATAATGACTCTTGTTAAGTTTGTGTCAAACAAGGAAAAGGTTTGACAGCATCATCCTGACTGCAAAGGTTGGGGCTGACAGAATATCTTAGTGGAGGAGGACTTGGTTTATTTTAATTATTCGATAATATATTTAGAAAAGAGCATAATGTCAAAGTATTGAGTAAGAAATTTGAAAGAGAAGTGTTTCAGCAGTTAGATACCCTCCTAACAATTACATCAGAGAAACAATCACATGTGGTGTTCCCCAAGGCTACATTTTACAGCCCTCCCTATTCAATATCTGTCTCAGATGGAAACCTTTTCAAATATACAGTGGTAGAGGGAAAAAACAATCCCCCCTGTAAAACGTCAATTAGGAAAATGAGAAAATATGATTCTCATTAATATAGCTTAGAAATAAAAAAGAGCAGAAAAAAATCCTAAAAGGTGTTAAAGAAAGAAAGATAGTCTTATTTAAAGTTGGACTGGGATGAACAGAAATATGATGAGACAGAAAGCTGCAGGCCACATGATGGTTCCGGATCTGTTACAGGAAAAAAAAAAAAGCTTAACCCAGTTTAAAGTTATGCAAGGAAAGCAGAAACCTGAGGCCTTTATCATTCACTTATGTTCGGATGAAATGTATCTGAAAGAGCAAACCGGTTTGGTGAGCAAGGAGCTGAAAGTGAGGCTTCCTCTGATGTGGTTATTTTCTCCATGAATGATGCCAACCCTGTCAAGTGTTTGAGTCAGTCAGTGAAACATGTCGAGGAGGGTGAGTGTTTGTGTTGAGAGCCGACTTCCCCACAGACCACAGAATTTGTGTCCATGGCGATGAGCTGTGTTATCTCCCCTGTGATTTCCTCCAGAGGAGAGGCACGCAGAAGGCCTTCATTTCTTAGAGCTTAACATCAATGAGGAGAAACAATCAAATTTCAAAGGATAGCTGCGCAAACACAAGCTTTAACAAATGCAGTTAATACATTGGGCTTTTGAAACAGTCTCTCCAATAGTCGGAATAAAAGCAAGCAGCTGAAGGTTCATATTTCACATATGAAACCAACAATAGACTTCACTCTATTTATAAAGACACCATTAAAGATACAGAATAGGCAGACATTTGATCCTAATGCAGATTTATTGATTGATGGAAACTCAAACATACCTCACAGATGACACAGCATACACAGAAAACACACTTTTTGCATTCTATTATTAGATTTTAATTTAATTTTTTTTTTTAAATACACTCATCAAGCTCATTTATTCTATATTAATTTAAGGTTTTTCAGTGGTGGGTCTAGACAAAATTTACCCGGGGGTCCAGGTAGTGGCCAACATTTTTTTTCACAAGATACATAGAACAAAAGAATATTAAATACAAAAAAGAAGAAAGAAAAAACTCGGGCAACAGAAATGACCAACTTTCCACAATAATTAACAGTAATATTTTACAGTAAGTTGTTGTGATTGAGTTCCCCTTTAATATTCCAATGAATCCCTGTAAAAAAATACAGTCTCATTGTACTTCACAGCATTTAATTCTTATTGTACAGTAAAAAATTAAATAAAAAAACCCTGTTATGTCACAACTAGCTCTGTGATATCAGAGCATTTAATAATATTATTTCAGTGAAATACTATAGATAAACACACAATAAACACTATTTGAACAAACGTTTCCCTGAAGGTAGGCAGCCTGCATAACTGTTATCAGCACTGCACTAATTACTAATTTTATTTTAATGTGATAATATTTAATTAATTTTAAATGAACATTTATCTGATGTCACAGTTTGTATTTTGTTAGCAAGTACCCAACATTGTTGAATCTTTTCTTACAGAATTTGCTAATAGTATAGTTAGCAATAGGCTATAGTGAGTGTTATGCTGTATATTCAAGTAAAGTTACTGAGCTTGATTCTCCTCCCATGAGTCTTTCACTACCTAAACACTGGATTTCCCCATCTCAGCTGAAGCAAATACTTTTATTAGGGCTTGGGCATCATAATTTGGTTAAAAATGGCTACGAAAAGGTATATTGAATATTTATTATAGAAGTCCCAACAGGTTTGGATTATAAGTCTATTGGGGTTTTATATAGGAAAAGGCAACATTGAACACATTGATAAATGCTGCCTGCAATACATCAGTCTATCTAAATCTGAAACTATCTATTTTCGTACAACGCTGTAACGTTTGGACATGTTGTAATGTTTGAGTTGAGAGGAGTGCCTGACCCCTTTAGACATCCCTTCATTACTCACTCTCCAGTGATCTCTTATCCTGCCATGTAGGCCTCATTCCAGATACTGTTACCTCTTACTAGTATTCTGACATAGCTGATTGAATAGTTGTATGACAAGATGATTAATGATTGTTGAAGTGCCGGTTTCTGCACAGTTCCTCTGCATTTTAAGATGTTTTTGTTACTAGAACGTTAAATTTATTGAAGTTCTTAACATTCAATGTATGCAGATTTTTTTTTCCATAAATATGCCATTGGACTAAAACTGACTTTACCTCAGAGTTGTTTATTGGTGGTGGGTGGGGGTAAATATCCAATGAGAATAAAGTCCCAAGCTAATGTATTCCTTTGTGCGCCAGCACGCTGGCACAGTTTTTAGCATTGTTGCTTGACAGCAAGAAGGGTCTTTCCTCATAGAGTTTGCAGGTTCCACTGTGCATGCTTTGGTTCTCTTTGCTTGCTCCAGCTTCCTCCAACAGTACAAAAAAACCTGGCTGTCAGGATAATTGGGGGTCTCTAAATTTTCGTTGTGTGTGTGCATGTTTGTGTGTCTCTGCGTTGCCCTGCAATGGAATGGCGACCTGTCCAGGGTATACCCCGCCTTTTGCCCATACAGTGCTAAATATAGGCACCAGCCACAATGGATGAAGTGGGAGAAAATGGATGGGTGGATTTGTATTACTGTCACTATTTACATTGCAAATTACTGTCAACTTGTACATTACTTTCAAAATGCACACTGTAAAAGTACAGAGCCGTGTTGCAATGAAAGCAAAATGCTGTAATTTCCCATTAATGTGTTGTAATATCACAACAACTAGTTTGCTATTGAAGTTGTAACATTACAGCTTTTACAACAATGTATTGTAATATCACAGATAAGAAATTACTCTAAATACAGTATGTTTCACAGTATAGAGCTCTTATCCAAAACTTATCCAATCATAGTAAAATCACGGTGAAACTTTTTGCATTGAATATTCAATATATTAAGTTAGCCATAAAGCCAAGGTTGCGGAACCCCATCTAAGAAATGAAAACTGTTATCTATCCTAAAATGTTTGAAACTCAAAACTGACTGTAACTTTTAAAGCAGAATTATTAAATTGGTCCAATGGACCAACCAGTTTTCTGGTTATATATCATCTGAATATATATCATCATTACACTGTAAAACAACTATTCTGATACTCGTAAAATGATCTGCTAATGGAATTAATATTCTTACTCTTACAATACGATAATACGATTTTATGCACCTGAAATAATTAATTAAAATTTTTCAATGTCATTTGGTGGGGCAAAAGTGGTTTCCCTTACAATCGAAGGCTTATCGGTTCAAGTCCTTTCATTGTGTTTACCACTTTTACCACTGGTGCCTGAGTTCTGTCAGTGAGCCCCAGGGCAGCTGTGGCTACAATGTAGCTTGCCACCATCAGTGTGTGCGTGAATAGGTAAGTAACTGAGTGTGTAAAGCGCTTTGGTCAACTCTCCTGACTTGAAAAAGCGCTATAGGAGTACAGAACATTTACCATTTTGCACATAAATTACTTAATTCCATCAGAAAGTTGTCTGAGGAAAAATATACAAACTTACAAAATACAAA